CCACAGTCTGCCCCTGGCCTTGTTATGACTGGTGATACAGAGTTTTCCATCATCTGTTTCCACCGATGTAGTCAATTTGATTTCTTTGTCTTCCATTTGGTGAGGTCCATGTGTATAGTCGTTTCTTATGCTGTCTGAAGAAGGTATTTGAAATGAACAAGTCATTGGTTTTGCAGTATTCTATCATGAGTTCCCCAGCATCGTTTCTATCACCAAGGCCATATTTTCCAAGACTGATCCTTCCTCTTTGCTCTCAACCTTTCCATTCCAATCACCAGTAATGATCAGTACATCTTGATTGCATGTTTGATCGATTTCAGATTGAATAAGGTGGTGGTGGTTATGAGCCGTGGAGTCAGTTCTGACTCACAGCGACCCTGTACAGCGTTTCCGAGGCTGTAAATCTTTACGGGAGCAGAAAGTCTCATCTTTCTCCCATGGCATAGCTGGTAGTTTCAAACTGCTGACCTTGAGGTTCGCAGCTCGATTTGTAAACACTGTGTAGAATTCTTTTATTTCATCCTCACAGACTTTAGTCGTTGGTGCGTAAATTTGAATAATAGTGGTATTAACTGGGCTTTCCTGTAGGCCGCTGGATATTATCCCATCACAGACAGCATTGTACCTGTTGACTGATCTGGATATGTTCTTTTTACAATGAATGTAACAACATTCCTCTTCAAATTGTCATTCCCGGCATTGTAAACCATGTGGTTGTCAGATTCAAAATGGCCAATACCAGTCCATTTCCGCTCACTAATGCCTAAGATACTGATGTTTAAGCGTTCCATTTCAGTTTTGACAACTTCCCTTTTTCCTAGATTCATACTTCATACATTCCATGTTCCAATTTTCAGTGGATGTTTACAGCTTTTTCTCTTCATTTTGAGTTGTGCTCTATCAGCAAATGAAGGTCCCGCGGGCTTTTCTCCCACGAGTTTTACTCTGTTCACGCCATCATGGTCAATTCTACTTTGAGGAGGCAGCTCTTCCCCAGTTGCATTTTGAGTGCCTTCCAACCTGATGAGCTCATCTTCCGGCAATGTATCTGACAGTGTTTCTCTGCTATTCATAAGGTTTTCAGTGACTAAATATTTGGATGTAGTTCATCACTCTTTCTTCTTAGTCTGTCTTCATCTGGATGCTCATCTGAAACCTGCTCACCATGGGTGACTCTGCTGGTATTTAAAATACCGGTGGCATAGCTTTCAGTATCACAGTAACTCACAAGCCACCACAGTACGATAAACTGACAGACAAGTGGTGGCCATTTGGTTTTAAGTGGAAACTGTCACTTTAAATTTTATGGCGATCTGTGTGCATGCATAGTAGAACCCTCCAGGAGTGGGAATGGGGTGTCTGTTCACTCAAGCATCCCCTCTAGTTACCAGAATGTAGGTGCTCACAAAGTGAGAGACCAATGAAAAGATACCAAAAAAAGGATGTCCGCATCTCTGTCTCCACAGTTCTGTAAGGCATTTGTGGCTGTTCTGATCCTTCTCCCACTTGGTCTCTCCCAAGATGGTGGCTCTGGGAGCACCTGAGCATCTTGAATTAGAAAGCAATGGATTTCTTGATTCTGCTACAAATTCTTCTAGCTGTAAGCCTTCCAAGCTTCTAAATATTCCTTTATATGTGGTTTGGAGTTCTAGCACCATCCCCTGAGCCTGCTT